CCCCCTTGTTTTTGGACGGGTTCCCATTTCGGGAGGTGAACATCGGACTACTGCAACTCACTGGAGTGTTACTTACTCACTTCGTTCACTTACTTTCTTTTTATTGGAAACACCGCCCCTCTCTTTCTCTTGCACACACTCTCCCAAACAATCCATTCTCTCTCACTTGTCATACCATCAACACTGTACAACTTCACTCCGTCTTACATAGAGCCGCAGGTTGAGCTTGCGACACCTGAGGGAATCCCTTTTACGCCCAACCTGACCTTGTTCTCCGCGTGGGGGGGTTGGTGGGAGACGAGCTGCGGGGTGACCGACGGGTTGCAGAGCCAAGATCTCTGATCCCGATCGAGAGAAACGTGGACGGTTTTCGCGACTCCTGTGTGACTTCCGGTGCCAATCAGGCCTCCTCCAGTTACGTTGCGTCCTGGTTTCGTCTACTGCCATTCTGTTTGCCTTTCCGCGGATTGCGCGAAGTTCTTGCGGTCGAGTTGTCGGCTTCCGAACGAGGCGCCCCATGAAACGGCAATGCCTAATCAGAGTGGATCTGATATCTCTTTGACCTCGAGCTTGTCAGTATGCCCAGGTGACTGCGATACGAGGCCCGGCTCGTCATCATGTGACACTCTGGCCGCGTCGCAACATCGTCGGCCTTCTTACTCCACCCCAGAAGGCGTCCCGGTGACAAGGGATCAGCAACCGGTGTTGAGCGAGACTGATGCGGCCTCAAGTGCTTTCGACCCGACGGACCCGGGTATCTCTGCCATCATGGCGCTGCCGCAATACCCGAGCGTCGCTACCAATGAAGCCAACTTTTTGGCTGTCTCCGAGGTCGTAAATGCCGTGATCGACCGCGATTCCTATTTCCGCCGTGCAGGGGAAGGGGATGAGGGAACCGTCCGTCGTCACTCATCGCCACCCACCGACCTGTACATGTCGGATTCAGAGATGACAGATGTATTGTCCGACCTGGGCGGGGTACCGCTCGCGCCATATGAGAACGGGCAACTCGGCATGGAGACACTGGTTCACCACCTGATCGATCACGCAACAGCTAGGCGCGCCATCTCTACGATTTCGGAAGATAGTGAAGACGAAGACGAAGATGCCGCAGCTCTGATAACAAACTACGACACCCCCGTGAATCAAAATCCGTCTACCCCAATCTCGGAGCAGGACGATCTCCTGGACGACGCAGAGAAGTTCTACTCGGATGAGGATGGCAGCAACTACGATGAAGACTTCGCTGACCAATCCGAAGTCTACCAGGCTGGGGACTTATCGGAGGTTGATTACGACGATTTCTATCGAGGCTCAGATCATGACCTGGGCTCGCAGGCAACAGAAGTCACAGGTCATGACGACCACAACTACCCCTCCGATGGTGAGGATTGGAGTGGTGGAGATTTGACTGGCGATCCCCGCTTTCCTGCCTCCGTCATACACGGAACCAGTACGTATTGTCATGGTCTCATATGGGCCACCTTTTCTTTCTTTCCTTCCTTCCTTCCATCCATCCTTGGATCATATAATTTGCTCACAGTGAGGCCATGCTGATTGTCTTATGTGCGACAGCCCATGAAAGAAACTTTACTATCGACCAGTTTATCTCTCAATGGCTTGTCCAGTCGACGGCGGCCTCGATACCGAGCCTTCCGGTTCTTTCGACGGCGATGCCGCCAAATCCCATCTCCAATATCCTTGGCTGGAATCCTCCAGCAAAGATCGCACGGCCGAGTGGGTACACAGGAGACTTTTATGACATCCAACAGATCCCCTGGTGGGAGACCTTACGAGTCAAGCGAGCAGACGCCCGGGAGCTACGAGACCTCTGGTATACGTCATACCATAATTTAGAGTACTCGAATCAACGGCCGGGGTTGCGACTGTCTCAGGAGGAGTTCTACTTCCGGGAAAAGACTATGTACACCAAGCATAAAGCTACGATCGAGCACTTTCAACTCCGGAACTTGATGTCGGTTGCCGCCTACAACACGGTGCATTTTGCCCAAGAGTCGAAAGTGTATTCCTGGGTGCCTGCGTATGACGATGTTAGCTGCTTGATCGACTTGTCCAAGCCGTCCGCCGAATCCGGATTCCACGCGCCTGTGAAGATCTCTACTATGAAATCAGCTCACGACGTTGCCATCGCTGGTGGATTTGCAGGTGAATATGCTGTGCGGGCAGTGGGCACACGGGAGGGTGGCGTGGAAGGCTTCGTGACAAAGGACCCCAACGGGATCACCAACCATATCGATGTCGTCCCCAGTCGCACGAGCCGGTCGCCGATGGGTATCTTTGCCTCCAACGACCGACACCTCCGCGTGCTGGACGTGGAAACCAATACTTTCATTGCAGATCAAGAGCTGTCGCGCGCCATCAATTGTACGGCCACGTCGCCAGATGGACGTTTGCGGTGTGTCATCGGCGACTCGCCCGACGCTTGGGTCGTCGAGGCAGATACGGGACGACCGGTACATCCCCTCCGAGGCCATCGCGATTTTGGGTTTGCGTGCGCGTGGTCTCCCGATATGCGACACATCGCAACCAGCAACCAAGATAAGACAGTGATCATCTGGGATGCACGGACCTGGCGCGTTCTGGAGAAGATCGAGTCGGACGTCGCGGGGTATCGATCTCTCCGATATTCGCCGGTCGGCGGCGGCCCACGCACGCTACTGCTGTGCGAACCGGCTGATCGCGTCTCGATCATCAACGCGCAAACGTACCAAACGCGGCAGGTGCACGACTTCTTTGGGGAAATCGGTGGTGCGGACTACTCTCCGGACGGTAGCGCCGTCTGGGTTGCCAATACCGATGAACATTTCGGGGGATTTATGGAATACGAGCGACGCCAATGGGGACAGCGATACGGAGTACGGGACTTGCCTAACGAATGGGTGCGAGAGTCCGACTTGGACGAGGATGAACGATGCGTTCTCAGCGAACGGGAGCGACAGATGCGTTTCTGGTGGAATTTAAGCGACGAAGAACATGAGGGGATGCTAGTGGTGTAGCAGCAATCGGCATTGCTACCGCTTCAGGGGCTTCATCTCCCAAAGAACCATTGGTTGTCGAACCTTAAGAAGATAGGGAATGGTATTCGACGAGGGGCATTTCTCAGGAAAGATGGATTCACTATTTGCTACGAAGGCGCTTTATTACGGAATCCCCACATATTTTGTTTTTTATTTTTTTTCTGTTCTTCTTCTTCTTTTATGTTTTATTGTATCTACACATACTGGGAGGCCTGCTGACAGCGTTACGAGATACCACTGAATCGAATCCTGCACATTGTTTTTTCTTTTTATTCATCGAATCCAAAAGTCTACGTAATACCCGTGTGGCGGCCAAGATCGGTGTGATCAGATCGGTACCCAATGATCGGGGCTGTGGCTGGGCAACCCCACCGCCGATCTTCAGCTCAACCACAGCACAGCCGCAGCCCCTCCTTGTCTGGGAAATAAATACCATACAAACAACGAAGCTTCCCCTGATTCCTTCTACACCATCTTTTACCTTCTTCATTAAACAACCTCACGATCAAAGAAAATCAAAATGGGTTTCTCCGACTTCCTTCAAGACGCCGTCTCCCAGGCCGTCAGCAACGCCGGTAACAACTCTGGCGGCAACAACAACAACAACAACCACCAGGGCGGTTCCAACCAGAGCTACGGAGGAGACTCCTACGGCGGAAACCAGGGAGGCTACAATGACCGTCCTTCTCAAGGCAACCAAGGAGGCTACAACGATCGTCCCTCTCAAAGCTACGGAGGTGACTCCTATGGCGGAAACCAGGGCGGCTACAACGACCGCCCCTCCCACGGTGGAAACCAGGGCGGTTACAACGACCGTCCCTCCCAAGGCTACGGCGGAGACTCCTACGGCGACCGCCCCTCTCACGGCGGAAACCAAGGAGGCTACAATGACCGTCCTTCTTATGGCGGAAACCAGGGCGGCTACAACGACACCTCATACACGCCCCACCCCCCTCCCACGGCGGCTACCACAACTCCAACCCCTCCTCGCAGGGTTTCTCTGACAACGACGTAAACCCAGCCCTCGCCTACGCGCAAAAGCACCACTCCGACTCCTCCTCCAACGACTCGTCCCTCTTCAGCACCGCCCTGAACTTCATCAAGGACAAGCAAGGCCGCTCTTCCTCCCCGGACATCGACGAGTCCGAGATGGTCCAGTCCCACCAGCAGCTCTACAATGACAACGATAGCAGCAGGGCCCATGATTCGAACTCCCTGGGCGCTGGCGCTGCGATGCAGGCTCTGAAGATGTTTTCCTCGGGCCAGAGCGGTGGCTCTTCCGGCGGAGACCAGAATGCCTTTATTGGTATGGCGATGAGCCAAGCTGCTAAGCTTTGGGATCAGAAGAACTCGAGTGGCAAGGTGGTATGTTATTTTCCCTCTCCCCCCTCCCTCTTTCTATTTTCTTTTGGCTTGTAGGTTTGATTTTGAGTGAATGCTAATCTGGGTTGCGGTAGACCGATGATAAGCAGTCGGCTGTGAACAAGGCCGCTGAGATGGCTATGAAGATGTATTTGAAGAACCAGGGCAGTGGATCGTCTGGTAGCGGTGGGCCGGCGCTGATGAACTTGGCTAGCAAGTTCCTGAGCAAGTAGATTGGTTTAGGGGTTTAATTTGTTTTCCTTTGTGAATATGGTATATGGTTTGATGTTATATTCTTGGACATGACAGAATGATATACAGAACGACCTGCTACTACTGAACGCATGAATAAATATATGTCTCTTGACTGGTGAAATTTATAGCAACAATTCTATTTTATAATCTAAACAGCCAGGGTTCATGCAGCGCCAAACAATGAATCCCATGGTATCAGTAGACCAGCAAATCCAAAGCAAAACTCTAGCTAGAACTCGGGATAAAAAAAAAGAAAAGCGCGGATATTGGGAATGAGAATGGAAGAGGTAGATAAATAAAGGTAGAAGGTGAAGCAAGTCAATCACCACTCGTCATCATCGTCGTGCTTGCCTTGCATCGCGTTTTGTCGTGCTCTCAATGCCTCTGCGAGGCTCCTGCTAAGCTGGCGTTCGAGGTACTGTTCGGCGTCCCGCGACCACTACCACCAGACGAGTCGTGCGAGTTCATGCTCACGGCGCTGTCCCGGGGCGCTGGTGGAGGTGTCGGCACCGCTTTTCTACCAGCCATGTTCGGGCGCTTCGCAGGAGGTGCAGGAGGTGCCGGTTTAGCCTTGGCTGCGGCCGCCGTAGCGGCTCCGTTGGCGGCCGGCACCGGGCTTGCCCTCGGTGCGGCTGGTGGTGGTGGTGGGGGAGCAGGCTTGGGTGTAGGCGCGACTTGCTCTTCAAGATACGCCTGGGGGGTCCAGCCCTGGACGGAAGTTGTCATGTTCATGCACAACCACCAACCTAGTACACATTAGCCTCGTAAGTAGAGAAGTGAAGAAGTCAAAGTCTTACCGTTTCCTTCCTTCGATACAATCTGCACAACTTCTCCCGCCCGGATGTCCAACTCGTTGGTCTGGGCACTAGTGAAATCGTACAAGACCTTCGCGGTTGCTTTCTTCGGTGCCGGGGGACTCGCGGGCGGTGGTGGCGGAGGTGGAGCTCTCACAGAGCCAGATGAGGCATTCCGTGTATGAGAAGCGGCTGCGGCCGCAACAGGCTGAGGAACGGGTCTAGGAACGGCAGCTGGCTGAGGAGCAGGAGTTGGTCGTGCCGCAGCCGGTTGCGATTGAGGCAGAGGCTGGGGTTTGGGTGTAGGTCTGGATGCAGGTCTGGACGCCAGTTTCGACGGCCCGCCACCAGGACCCCCGGGGCGCAACAGCTTTCCTTTGGTGACTGGTCGTGCCGCAACTTGCTTCGCCCGCGGCGTCGGCTTGGAGACGGAGCTCGGGGGCTCGCCGGGGCTAGTGTGAATAGTGTGACTCTTGTAGGTATCAACGTTTGGAGACGCGGCTGGATCCTTAACAGCTTTGACGGTCGCCAACTTGCCGGGCTTCTTGTTGTATTCAATGCTACATTGGATTAGCGGTGGAAAACAACTTCACATGGACACAACTTACTTCTCGGAAATCTTCAGATTCAATTGCCCACGCAAAGCGGTCTGAAGATGAGTGAAAAATTCCGTTTTGAAGACACAGTTGATCAAAGGATCAGGTTCCTGCCCACCGATGACCAAGGAGAACCAGTCGTCTTTCAGGTTTGAGGTGCTAACAGCCTTGATGGCACCAAGCGGTACCGTTCTTTCAGCTGAAATTTGCAATTGATTATTGACAAGAGTTTGTGCCACGATATATACATGTCGGTTCGTCTGCAATTGTTAGGATACGAGTTGTTTTCGGCATCATCAAGACACTCACCAAAACGAGAATCCGTGGAGAAGGTTTGCTGGACCGACCAAACTTGGAGATCAGAACTTCACCACGGCAAGAAAAGAGAACATCCTCCGATCCTTGAATAAAGTCAGCAAGCATTGTCGGCCACAACGTAGCATGAAATACACTTACCGCTAATGCCTGCACCGTTGCGGATCATCTCTCCCGGTCCACCCTTGTTACCCATTCCAAGATAGTCACCAAGGAATCGTCGAGAGCCGAGCAAACTCATTCTGCGACGTTCCTTGCGACCTTGGAGCACCTGGTGGCCTTGATCACGCACCTTAAGAAGTTCAAGACCGCCGGTGGTACGACGCCAGAATCGCTGGATGCGGGTGGCGCACTCAATACGATAGCGCAGGTAGTTACGCCATGCGCGCTGGATACGAATAGCCATATTGTGCCAGTACCGGTCACGCATAGCCTCCAGGGCAAAAAGCGTTTCGGGGGTCTTGACGAACACCTTCGTGATACCCATCTGGTACTCCTCTGCGGGAATACTAGTGTCCTTGAGGATCTGCCGAGCACCTGATTCCGCGTCGCCGGTCCATGTGTAATCGCCGGCATAGGATGTCTTCGGGGACAGAAGATAGAAACGCTCCACGAACTTATCGAAAGTTTGACGATAAGCGAAACCAGCACGTCGAATTCGGACGTTTTCCTGAAGACCGAGGTATTTGATTTGATGCAGAACATTTCCAACATTGTATTCCTTCGGGGCCTTGTTGTCGTTTGGCTTGATGGTACGGATATATGATGGCTGAGCTTTCATCAAGGTAGCCACCAGGTCGTTAGCGGAAGCCTTGATCTTATCGCTAGCTGTAGGTGGACGCCTCTTATCATCCTGGTTGACCTGGTTAGGGAAGATTGTGTGGACAAACTGGTTACCGCTCGATCCGACTAGGTTCAGTAGATCCTTCAGTAGCTGGTCTTTGTTCTTATCCGTCATACCCTCTACCGAGTAACTGACATCACCGGCGTAGTGCTTGACAATGAACTGACCCTGTCGGTTCTCGAAGTTTGGATTCTGCCCGAGGAAGTTCAGCCTGCCCACAAAGGTGTTGTCCGCAGCGCCAGAATCGGCATGTGCTGTTGCGCAAGCGTCATTGAGGGCGGCGAAAACACCAGGTGGGCGCTTGTCTTCGATCAACGAGCATACGACCTTGTTATCAAAGTATTTAATGGGCGTCCACTGGATCTGCTCACGAGCATACTCATCTTGCTCGGCCTTCAGGGTTAACTGGATGAAAATTTGCTGTAGCTTCTCATTAACATAGTTAATGCAGAGCTGTTCGAAGGAGTTCTTCTCAAAAATTTCGAACCCGTAGATATCAAGAATTCCAATCGAGTTTGATACGGCTTCCCTGGCAGTCAAGGACTGATTGACACGATCCACGATCCAATCGAAGAGATTGAAATAGATTGCCTTGGATAGCGCATCACGTACGGCAAGGGCTTGGACGGTGTTCAGAGGAACTTCGTAAACCGATCCCCTACGGCCTCCGCGGGCGGTTTCCATAATGCGAATAGTGAGCGCTTTGTTCACCTGAGCAGGGTCGACTTCCAGCAAGTAAGCGACAAAATCAACGACCGACTGATCCGAGATCGCAGCGTTCCCAGAATCGTCCTCAGTGAACTGAACGTTTCCAATCCATAGAATGGCGGCAAGCATTCGGAAGACGTTGTCCTGTTCGGCTTCGCTCATCCCAATTACCCCCATTGCATTCAGAGTATCTTTGAACTCAGCACTGTCGTCGACTCCCGGCACGTCGAAGCATTTCGAGCGGCTTGTATAAAGGTAGGATTGGGGCTGCTGTATACCAAACATATCTGCAGTTCATTAGACCATTATCGCTCTTGTAGGGACAGAAATCATACCTCGATATTTCTGCGGCGCTGCCTTTGTAAACTGGTAGAAGATGTGGAAGTTTCGCTCGTTGGCGATCTGACCGACGACTCGCGATTTCTCCAGCAAGTAATTGGTGATGTTGGCGCCGACAGGCTCACCATTGGCGTTGAATTCTAACTCGAGGTACTTTCCGAAGCGAGAGGAGTTATTATTGCGCAGCGTCTTCGCATTACCGAATGATTCGAGTAGCGGGTTTGTGGCCAAAACCATGTCTTTCGTCTGTTGGATGGACGAATCGCTTCCGCCGGATACACTGGCGATGTACTGCATGATCCGCTTTGCGGCCTCTGTCTTCCCCGCACCCGACTCTCCGGAAATGATCACACATTGGTTATCCTTGTAGGATTTCATGTTATAATATGAGGATTCTGCAACTGCGAATACGTGAGGAGGAACTTCGAGTCGGTTCTTACCCCGATAGGAGTCGAGGACACGATCGGTATAGATGCCCACTAGAAAAGGGGTCAGTCAGCTCATGTCCACCCCCTGATCATGCCTCTCAATGGGTGTACCTACAGTCTCGAAACGGGTTCACAGACACCAAGACATGTCCGATGTACGTCTAGAAGAAAGAAACCACTTAGTCCTGATCTGGCGCATACCCCGCAATATCAACTCACGTAGATTTCGTCATGTTCGAAGCGGAGTTTCAGGTTGTCGTTGATGGCTTCATTAGAGATCTTGCTCAACAATGTAAGATCCGAAACACCAATCTCCTTCTTCTTTGTTGTCTCGAATACAGCCTTCTTGACTTGCGGTTTTCCTCCTTGTCGCCCGTCGCCCACATCAGCGACCTTCGAGCGACCGAAGCCTCGACTCTTCTTCTCCCCGCCAACAGGACGTCGTGAGTGTCCCTAATTGCGATCGTGTGTCAGCGGAATTGTTTCTTGGGATTAACTCCAAGCCAATATCGTATGCAGGAAGATGCCAGACAGAGAGGAAGAGGCGACTCACCATGGTTGTTGTTACCGACTACCCCGGATTGGGCGCCCAGGCGTCAAGATATGTGGTGTATAAGTTTAGAAACGGAGTATTGTAAAGTAAGCGTTCAATAACTGAGGGGAATGAGCGCAAAAGAAAGGTCGCTCATTCCAAGTGTACACACACACGAATAAAGAAAGTAAAGAAGGGTAAACCAGAACAACGCTCGTAGAATGAGTGTTGCAAGATAATATTGGGGGGAGAGGGAGGAATGACGATGTGGTACCTGTAGAGGACAAGACGCAAGACTGTCTAGTCAACTAGTATTGTTATTCGGCGGGACAGCCGATGGAACTTCCGTCTGCGCCACACACACACACGTGTGGCACCGTTGGGTTGGCTTCCTTTCAGGTCGACAACGCGCAATCCCTTAAATTCAACGTCTGGTACTGGTTAATAATCTCGACAATATTCGCCTCTTCC